GAGACTGAAGAGTGTCATTGTTCTCTACAGGTTGAGTTATTGTGGAGTCACAGATGAAGGTTGTGCTGCTCTGACTTCAGGTCTGAGATCAAACCCCTCACACCTGAGAGAACTGGATCTGACTGGAAATGAAATGGGAGTGTCTGGACTGAATCTGCTCTCTGATGGACTGAAGGATCTTCACTGTAGACTGGAGAAATTGAAGTAAGAATGTATACAAGTCCAGCATACTCCATTATTATCATCCCACTGTAAATAATGAATGATATACAAAAAAGTTAAAAGTAAAGTAAAAAAAAAGTGTAGTCAGATAACTGAAGACAATGTTTTCTTAAACTTAAAGGGTTAGTTCACCTAAAAATGAAAATTAACTTGTGTTTTACTTTACCCTCGAAGCATCCTAGGTGTATACGATTTCTTTCAGATGAATCCAGTTGGAGTTATATAAAAATTTGTCCTGGCTATTCCAAGCACTATCATTGCAGTCAGCGGGTGTTGCAGTTGAACAGTCCACAAGTCGTCAAATAAAGCGTGTGCATTCATAATAAAACGTGCCGCACACGGCTCCGGGGGGTGAATAAAGGCCTTCTGTAGTGAATGCATGTATTTTTGTAAGAAAAACATCCATATTTCAAACGTAATAAACACTTTTCTCACACTTCCGCTATCTGTAACACGCGGAAGACGTTCCGGCGGATGACGTAGGACGTCGGCATTGCGTGATTAGTGACGAATGCGGAGAGAGAACAAAACAAAACGCTGGTCACAAATTAGAAGTACAAACCGAGGATTTGCAAAGAAAAATGTTGGAGGATTTCGATATAAACCAAGAGGAGACTGGTTTTCCTTTGCTAAAGTAAGGAAACTTTGCTTCCTTTGCTCCTATAAACAAACTCACGATACTAGCATATCAGAGGCGCGCCCTGCGCATACGTCATCCGTCGGAACGGCTTCCGCATATGACAGATAACGGAAGTGAGAGAAAAGTGTTTATTACGTTTGAAATATGGATATTTTTCTTACAAAAACATGCATTCACCATAGAAGGCCTTTATTTACCCCCCGGAGCCGTGTGCGGCTAATTTTCATTTTTTGGGGAACTATCCCTTTAATTAGATTATCTTCAATGGGTATGACATCATTTTATTAACATGAATACATTTAGCAGATGCTATTATCCAAGGCATCTTGCATTACATTCACTGGAATTGAACCAATGATCCTGGTGTTGCTCATAGACCACGCTCTACTGTTTGAGTAACAGAATTGCTTTCTTTGCTACAGTATATAGATAATATGATGATATGACAACTGTTTTCATTTTATACAGATGTGTTGAGGATTTTGAGGTACTCTCATCAAAAAAAAAAAAAAGATTTTTAGATTTTAATGGTACCTGTACTGAAATGCCACGCTGAATTGTAGAAGTGGGTCTGAACCTTAGACTGGAGCTGTTAATAGTGTCGTGGATTAAGTCTCTCTCTCTGATTGTGAAGTTGCTGTTGATCTGAGCTGTAGATCCTGAACTGAGAGACTGAAGAGTGTCATTGTTCTCTACAGGTTGAGGGATTGTGGAGTCACAGATGAAGGTTGTGCTGCTCTGGCTTCAGCTCTGAGATCAAACCCCTCACACCTGAGAGAACTAGATCTGACTGATAATAAACTAGGAGCGTCAGATGTAAAGCTGCTCTCTGATCTACTGAAGGATCCTCGCTGTAAACTGAAGATACTGAGGTAAGTTTGTATAAAATGTATCAACATCCTCCTCTGTTTTTCTCATATGGTGCATAATGATTGCTATACAAAAAAATGCTGTGAAATTAGTGATAGGAATGTTGCTTTTGTTCTTTAGATTCATTAGATTCTTTCCAACGTGTCTTACATTTACTTATTATTTTTAATAATAGAAAACATTATTGGATGAGGTGAAGATGATACAAGTATGTCCATAAAAATGTGTTAACCCTCTGGGGCGAAGACCGCACACAGTCTGTCAGGTTTTTAATTATAACAGTGAAAATAACTAAAAATACGCTGTCATTTTTGATCGTACAGATAAGAATAAGGCATCATTTGAAACTGCAGAGGGGTCTACTTTTATTTGTGTATAGTCATAATAACAACAAAACAATGTTTTTTTTTACAATAAAGAAAACAAACAGGGTGCGCTCTCTGCTGTCTCGATCTCTGTCATTTTCTTCACAGACCCATAAATAAAACAACCTGAATCTCAGCGAATACTTGACTCACAGACATGATAAATATACAGTGGGTACGGAAAGTATTCAGACCCCCTTAAATTTTGAAAGATTGACACGTCTACTATTAAATGGAGTAAGTCATATTCTCTGATAAAGTAATCCGTCTGAAACCAACGAGTGTTGCAGTTTTTCCTGTCTTAGCTCATTATCTGTAATTGGGTTAACGCCCACGAGCCGAGCGGCTATTGATATTATAGATATCCACGTGAGATGCGCAAACCTGTAAACGCCCTCATCACCTCCATAAACAAAGCCTGTGGATTTCATCAAGTTCATCTCGGCTACTTTTTGTTTTTAGAAGAAGACTCACTGAAGGGCTTTTCATACATGAAACGGTTAACCCTGGGTCATCATAAACCCCGGATAAACAGAATCCTGGGTTATCTGTAATCATGTTTCACACTGCTATACCTCGGGTTAACTGTTAATCCTGGGTATTCATTAACAGACGTTTCACACTGTACATTCCTAAACCCCGGGTTAACGTTCTTATTTGCATATTTGCGGTGTCATTGTCACTGATTGGACGAACAGCAGGCAACCTGTTTACATGCTTTCCATCTTTTTACATGTCTTACTTTTCTCTCACCGGCTGCTGTTTACACGACGCACGTTACCTGTTACTGACGTGACATTAGCCTCGCTGCTCAATTTCTGATTGGCTGTCTGTTGCCATGCGTCCAGCAGCAACAAGTTGACACGCCTCCGTATCACACTGAACACACTTAGCACCGCAATGCGGCCTATGAGAGGAATAAGCCAGAATTTACCTCAGAAGAAGAACGTGATGCGACGCGTGGCTTGATCCAGTGGAGGATCTCATTCTGATGAGTAAGATTCAGGGCCGGCCCGTGGCATAAGCGGAATAGGCAAATGCTAGGGGCGCCATAATGCGCTACGCTTTTTTAAACTATTTTTTTTATTAAATTAAATTCAAGTTTATTTGTATAGCGCTTTTCACGATACAAATCATTGCAAAGCAGCTTTACAGGAAATTTTAAGTTTCTACATTATATTTAGGAGTAGGTTATTAGTGGTGACTATGACAGAAATGTACAGTAAGAATCATGCAGTTAGTTACAACACAACACAATTAACTGCAATGATTATATGTTGCGATTAAACTTACAGCAAAATCTTTGTTTTATTACAAATACTACTTCAATACAATGAATTTAAAATATTACAAAAAAGCGATCGTCCCACAAAAACATAACTATTTTATTGCTCTCCCGACTCACCCCGGTTCAAAGCAATATTCCCCCGCACAGCCGCACTTCCACATACATCAGTTACCTGATGTCTAAGAATGTTTGACACAAAGGTGTGTGACTTTTCAAGTCTCTGTATTTAGATCAATGTGCTCAATAATGTGTATTTGGCCTTCACTGTGTATATTTTGATTATACTATGTTGTAAATAAAATACAAATAATCAAATCCCCCATTATTTTCCTCTCCTCACATTCTTTATTACCTGCCTCACATTCACACAGTGACAACACAGATGGCCCACGAAGGGCCCTTTATCTCTCAGGTGTGAATCACTAAATATTCATGGCCATTGTCACTCCTTGCATACGGCCTTTCTAACACAAAACATATCTTACAAAAGTTAAATCTGTTTTCTGTGAATGAGTGAGCAGGGTGAAACAATCTCTAGTCTACGACATCCATTTTTTAAAAGTCTTGTGAACCAATGTTCTTTCTGTATGTGTTTTATGGCTTTATTTTAGTGACTTAAATTTTTTTGTTTTTCACTAACCACATATAAACGTTGTTTTCTCAAAAACACAAACATGTACATTCATACTGCTCACATATTACTGTAGCACAGTTTGTGCTGATTACAGTGTATTAAAATTGTATCCATTAATATGCTTTAAGATACTGAAAAAACATAAATGTCAGGGCATGACAAAACCTATCCAGGGCACCAAAACCCCCTCAGACCCCAGAGGGTTAAGAATTTTAAAGTACTCACAAAAAAAAATTAATGATTCAGTTTTTTATGAAAATATTTAACTAGGCGCACATCAGCTGCTCTGAGGTACAAGAGTTTGTTCAGATAGATTTATTTCCATAATGAAATATCTACTGTGTTTTGCTCTGGTATGCTCAAAGGATAATTTTGATCAGACTCACAATCATGCTGTTGATCTGAATATCAGCACAACTTTGATTACCAGCAGCCTTGTGCCTACAGACCAATCACTGCCATGCTGATATTTGAACAACAGTACTCTTGGTCACATGATATTGCTTAATTATTTGATAAAGTGTTAATTTATTTTACTACCATTGTTCCTCTTTATTTATGTTGTAACCAGTTTTTTAATATTTCAGTCATAACTTTCAACTGACCCAAAGAATGCTTAAATTAAATCTGAGGAAGAAGAGTCAGAGTCTGCACGAAGGAACAGCGACGCAGGGAAACCCAACTCTCCTGAATGATATATACACCGAGCTCTACATCACAGAGAGTGAGAGTGGAGAGATCAATAATGAGCATGAGGTGAGACAGATTGAGACACAATCCAGGAGAGCAGCCACAGAGGACACAGCCATCAAATGCAATGACATCTTTAGACCTTTACCTGGACAAGAACACTGAGGTAAGATTATATAAACGTGTCAACATCCTTTCCCATTTTCTTTCTATGGTCAATAATGAATAAAATAAACACGAAAACTAAATAAAAATCTAAAATGTGTGTGTTGAAGATGATTTTGTTTAGTCGTCATTAGATTCATTCAAAAGTTTTTGACAGTTTTATTATGTAAGCATTGTTCTCAATTTATGCAAAATATATTATTACTATATTATATATTATGCTATCCCAGTACAGGGCTATGCAGATGATGTCCAGATTGCCTCCAGAGAAGAGAGCGTAATTAAAAACATGCTAGCCAGAACAGATGTTTTTCTGAAATGGTCAGGCCTGGAGATTAAGGACACAAAATGTGCTGTTCTGTATGAGAGGAGGAGTGGAGGGAACAGGTGGTACCGCTCAAAATCTGATAAATGTCCAGTGTTTACAGTAGCAACAAAACCTATACGTGTATATTCTCTTCACGAGACATACACTTATCTTGGACATAAAATTAATATTGCAGGAGAATGGAAAGAGCAAGTAGACATCATCCTGTCAGAGTTCACATGTAGGCTGGACCTGATTGATAAATGTCCACTGACCATGAAGCTGGAGGCTATTAGACAGGGGGCACTGTCTAAAGTACAACATCTGTTCTTAAACGTTCATATCCAGCAGAAAGTGCTGAGTGAAATGAATAACAAAACAGTGAGCTTAGTGCGAAAGTGGTTTGGACTAAATACACATAGCACTCGTGACATTATTTTTCATCCCCAAAGGGAAAGAGGACTAGGGGTACCAAACATGATATGGGTTTATATCAGCATGCGGATTTCCCACCTTCTGAACATGCTGAATAATGATGACAAAGATGTTAGGGAGCTGGCTTGATCCTCCCTGTTCCTGGACCTCAGGAGACGCAAGGTGCCGTTAGCCAGGGAGTTAGAGCCCCACTTCCTTGCCTTCAAAAGAAAACCCAGCGGGAAACTGGACACTCACTCTGCTGGTTTTGGTGTCTGGTCAGACTGGCCGGACCTGAATGATCTCTGTGTAAGAACTGGAGTATCACTGGAGTGGGCCCGGTCTAAACGTTCATATCCAGCAGAAAGTGCTGAGTGAAATGAATAACAAAACAGTGAGCTTAGTGCGAAAGTGGTTTGGACTAAATACACATAGCACTCGTGACATTATTTTTCATCCCCAAAGGGAAAGAGGACTAGGGGTACCAAACATGATATGGGTTTATATCAGCATGCGGATTTCCCACCTTCTGAACATGCTGAATAATGATGACAAAGATGTTAGGGAGCTGGCTTGATCCTCCCTGTTCCTGGACCTCAGGAGACGCAAGGTGCCGTTAGCCAGGGAGTTAGAGCCCCACTTCCTTGCCTTCAAAAGAAAACCCAGCGGGAAACTGGACACTCACTCTGCTGGTTTTGGTGTCTGGTCAGACTGGCCGAGAACATAGGACCCCTTATTATGTGTTGATTACATGCATATAAATCTGCTGAAAACACAAGAAGCCACTAATGTTCATCAGATTGCATAATTCAGTGGAAAAAGAATAGTGATGATTCTGTCTACAGAAATATATGAAGTAAATGTTTAAATTAGGGCTGTCAGTCGATTACAATTATTAATCTAATTAATTAACATGATGTTTCGATTAATTAATTGCAAAATAAATTTGACACTGAAAATACCCACAAAAGGTTATTTAAAGTTTTTTTTTGTCAAATGAGAAAGTATCAAGTAGACAATACAAAATGTAACTTTAGAAATATTTTATTTGATTCAACAACAACAACAACAACAAAAAATATATATATATATATATTACACAAACATTTAGGCTACAACTGTCAGGGTTCTGTCACTTCGGTCTAGTGTAATTCATAGTTTTGTGACAGAGCCCTGACACTCGCGTCATGTCATTGTTTTCATGTGAGCGTGCGGCTTCGAGTGTGCTCGAGCCGTGCGCTCTCGTCTGCGTGTACTGTTTCATGTGGGAGCGTGGTGTTCAGATCCCGGCACTCATGTCTTGAGTTTCGGTTTCGTGTCGGGGTCCGGACACTCGCGCTCCATGTTCTGTCTGTTGTGGGAGCGTGCGGTCTCGAGTTCGCTCGGCCGTGCGCTCTTCTGTCCACGTGTGTTGTGTTTTGTGAAGCACGCGGTTTGTGTTCAGCCGCGTGCTT